GCGCTGTGATGACGTCAGCTACGCGGTTTCGTCGAGCGCCCTTTAGTCGAACGCGGTTTTGTGGTGGAACCCATAAACACACAGTGGTAAGATAGATGGGAACAAACTAGGAAGCCATGTCAAGAAAATACATGTGGCTGTTTCACCAGGAAATGCAAAAATCTGATGACAAATTATTTATGTGTTTAATCTTGTTGTGTGTTCAATCCTACTGGCTGCATTCAAACAATATAATCAGCGCCTCAGTAAATTTCATATGTATTATTTTCATAAAATGCTACTGATTTTATACTATTCGATTTTTCTACAGTACAGTAGAACTTTCCTCTTATTCGCTGCTTTATCAGAAATTGGTTTTGAAAATACTGGCAATATAACATTTTCTTTTAATGAAGATAAAGGTAATAATAGTGTAAGGGATGTGTGATACTTCCCTTTGTATGTATTGACAGAATATGCATTGTAAGAATCTAAACTTTAGAAGTTTCCTCATCATTTTTTCTTTCTTTTTCTTCTGACTACTGAGTGATTTTTTTACAATTAATACACTTAGCACCACCTAGTGGATAAATGCCAAACTATATATAAATGTTTTAAAAAAATAATAATAATATGAAACTTACAGATTGCAGCAAAGTAATTAACACTGAACTTTCTATTCACTGGAAGAATTTAAGGTTTAGAAGTGTGTATTTAATGAATGCATTGTCTTAACACAGCTTAAATGGTTGATTCCCCTACACTGATTCACGTAGATAAAGGCCAAACCAAATAGAAGTTCATAGGTTAAAACTTGAATTATACCCAGAAACCTCGTGGAAAAACAATCAAGGCGCAAAGCACAGGTATAAAGTATACCTGGTGTGGAATAGGTACATAAATCATCGGGGGGTAGGGGGTGGGGAATCATGCTGATCACTCATGCTGATTTATGTATATATTCCCCACCAATTTTCAGTCTCATTTTCAGATATGTCGCTGGGTTTTCGCTGGCTAAATTAGACATTTTTAAATTTTTTAAATTAGACATTTAAATTAGACATTTAAATTAGACATTTAAATTAGACATTTAAATGGCTAAATTCAGAAATGGCACCAGGTCAGTGCAATACAGGTAGTTCTTGACTTAGGTCTATTTGATTAGCGATCATTCAAAATTGCAACAATGCTGGAAAAAGTTGCTTACGATTGGTCCTTGCAGCACTGACCACCAACCACTTTATGGTGATTGTAGATTCCTGAGGTCACTTGATTGCCATTTTAGACTTTCCCAGCCAGCTTCTGACAAGGAAAGTCAATGAGAGAACCCTGATTTCCTTAGTGACCTGTTGTGGCCCAGCAGGAGCCGTTGGAGCTGCCACCAGACTCCGACAGCGAGGGGCCCTATGAGTC